TTTATTTATTTATTTATTTTTTTGTCCTATCTTATATATCCCATCACAGACTCTCTCAGATATTCTCTACAGCTTTTTGTTTCTGCAGTCATATCAGACTGACACTGTTTTTAAGAGCTCTTGTTGAGATTGTGGTATTGTGTTACACAATTCACACACATCTTCACTAGATTATTACTCTGCATAAATAAATTTATGTTGGTTCATATTTTAAATACATTTTGTTACAAACTGACAAGTTCAATTTTGTGTTTCTCCATCACATCAAATGTTTTATAGATCTGCCCACACACAAATCTCACAGCTAGATGTCAGTAGACTGCAGATTGTATTCTGAGTTCCTTTTTCTTACCCCTTCCAATTCAAGTGCATAATCCTAGCTATGGTAGTATGGAGCCAGAACACTTTGGGGTACTGACAAACAGAAAATGAAAGGAAAGGAAACTGAAAAACCAGCTGAAGTATACAAGTATGCACTGATTGCATGAAAATAGCAGGCAGTTTACAGTGATGCATTATGCACGGCAGGCTAAATTTAGATTACAGATCAAGACTTGTAAACAATGGTTTACATTTAAGATGATGGCGCTGGTTAGATTCACTCAATGAATCCCACCTGTCTACTAGATTCAGCTACTCTTGCAGCTAGTCTAAGGATCTTGGAATGGAAGTGACTGGACTTCTTTACGTTTTGTGAGGATGTTTTATCTCTCGTGTGAAAAGCTTCTTCAGTTCTAAAACCAAAAGGTCCCACCTTTAACCCTAGTGGTGGTGTCGCTTAAGAGAGTTGTTAACCCACTATTGATCATGCACACCATCACAAGAACTAAGATGTGAGCAACAGCGTGGGCCATTACCACCTGAGGTTTTGCGTGAAACCACTGTAAGACCTTGCCTCAAACTATCATGTGTCCCACTGAGGTCACCTGAAGCAAGATGTGAGGCGCCTGGGAAGAGTTGGTGTTGCAGCCACCCCCTCTGTTGACAGATGGCTGTTCACAGTAGACACTGGTCATGGGCCTCTTTTACTCCTCTTCTGTCATCTATCTTCTCAGTTCAACAACGTGATTAGCGAGAATGGCAAGGGCCATTTCAGTCACTGTATTCAACACGGAGGGGCAACGTGGCAGGTCCACGCTCTTATCTCTGCATTTTTAATGGATTCAGTTTTAAAATACAGGAGTTTGTTGGAAGATGTAATTACATACTAATAAATGTATACACTCAACTAAATCATTATTGTTTTCTACTTAATAAACTCAAAAATGAACTTAACGTAGCTCTAAGTATTCCAGTAAAAACTTTATGTATTCAATTTCCTGACTGAGAGAAAGAACTAAGGTGGTGACAAAACAGTTGGGTGCAACTTACAGATTTCAGTTGATATTTTGGAAACAATCTAAGCAAATCTCATTTACGGAAACACATTCTGCAAACTGATGCACAGCTAAAACCAGATGGCTCTTCAGAGACCACAAGCATCTCATATCATGAGTGAAAGGAAACAATGCGAGTATGAGGCCAGCATTTAAAAGTAGGGGGGGGGAGTAAGAGAGAGGGGTACTGACTTTACTCATGCACATGTACCTGTATATGCACATCGACCTTTGTATGACGTATTTCCGAGGAATGCAGAAGAAATTGAGACCATAATTATTCGCCCAAAAGTGATCAGTCTGGTCAACCTGCTAATAATCCTTCAGAGAGTAGCTGACAGAATGGCTGACATTTTGGCATTAATGCCTTTAAGCAAAAAGTCGTAGAAATGATAGTAAGATTAGATGACCACTGTATGTACTGTATACTGTACTGTATATACTGTATATTTCAGCATGCCTCTCCCTGCAGGCCAGTGTAACTCTGATGTTTGTGTTGCTGGTGGTGTTATAGCTAATGGTAAGGATCTGGACAGTCATTTAAATAAGGATGGTGCTGCTGTTAATTGTAATTCTTCTGCTCTTGTTCTACCACCTTCTCCTGGACATTTTGACATTTATTAGCTTCTAAAACCATCTAGCAATCATTGTGATGCAACTGACAACTCTGTGCAGAGGGGTGGTGGGAGTGGTTGGGATTAGAGCTAGAGATATAGCAGTTTTTAATCCCAGAGAATTGTCAGTGTGATGATTTTAGAGAGACTGGTGTAGATAATCTAGAGCACGCAGATTATTGTAAACTCCTAAAACACTTACTGTGTGAAGTTGCTGGGGAAATGTTCTCTGAAAACACAACTGGACCTACAATCAAAAAGCTTTTGAATAATAGGGAACCTAAACAAACAAAGAGATCTCTACTTATTGAAGGCCATGTTGGAAAAAAGGCAGCAGAGATCTGAGCTCTAGACTGAGTCGGCTGTGTAGAATGTCTGATCTGTGAATTCTGTGAATATGACTAACTAAATGGGTGTAATAAAGGGGTGTGGAAAAACACAGAACAAGACTGACCAATGAAGCCTCAATTTAATTCAATTCAATTGTATTCATACAGCACCAAATCACAGGAACTGTCGCCTCAAGGCGCTTCATATTGTAAAGTAGACCCTACAATAATGCACACAGGGAAACCGCAAAACAGGAAAGCAGGGTCGGTTGATGGTCAAACCGCCAGCGTATAGAACACGAAACAGGAAAGAGGTTATTAACCAGAGTGGTGAAAATAAACTAACAGAAAGGAAATTTACTTGAGAAAAAAAACACTGTGCAAATCAAAAGGCCAATTTAAGAAAGATTCACACTATGTTCTACCAAGTTAAAAAAATAATTTAACAAAGCGCCTTCAGTTATATTTATCATTTAAATCAGTCTAAAAAAGAAGTAGGTTTTCCATTCCACAACAGCAACATTGTCCAAGTTAAAAATAGTAATACTCATAAAGGCTCTGCTCTTCATACTGTCAGGATAAAGCAATATTAAATAAGGGATCCTCCATCTGAAATAATTCCAATTTGTATAAATTCACACTGAAGACCAAAATAGTTGTCACACATGATAAAACAAAATTAAATAATACATTACCTGTTAATTAAACAACAGTGATTTAAAGATTACATTGAGCTCAAGACCACACTATTGTCTCTAAACATTTAGATCAACAAACTATCCAATTTAAATAACAAGGAATTAGAAATGCATGCTGGTAACAAGTTTTGATTCAGATTGAATGAAATCAGAGAGAACCAAAAATGAAGCCTAATTAAATCACCCATGAATTGGGGTGCGGGTTGTGCATGCTCACATGTGCACATACGTGCACGAGTAAAGCCGCCACTTATATACAACTGGGATAAACTCAAACATTGAGACTTGATACAAGGAAAGGTAAGCAAACATGTAGACGTAACCTGAGCACAAGAGATACTAAAGAAAAACACAGAGATGAGACTGGAGCAGTAAAAACACAGAAGAGAGCTAACGTCATTGCTTGAAGAGCTCAAAAGCTTAAACACCAAAAAACCAAAGTAGAGCTAGAACATAATGCCTTACCAAGACCAAAAGCCATAAGCTCAAAAATCTCAAAACTCTGGGTCAAAGATGCAGGGACCATAACAACTAAAGCTGGGCATACACTGTGCGATCTTTGGCCTTTTTTGAGACGATTTCTCAGTCGTGCGACCGTTTTGGTGGGGATCGGCCCGAGTCTCGCCTTAATTGTGTCGTCCATCGTGTAGTATACATGGGGTAACGAGAAGCGACTAACACCTCACGACCAGCTTCTGATCAGCAATAGTATGGTCGCAAGAAAATCAAACCTGTTTGAAATCCTATCGCCCCTCGTGAGGTTATCAACGCAACATCTCACACTGCGCACGCGTAATCACAGAAATGAAAGTGAAAAGGTGGAGCAGCACGTCAGTGAAGCGTGTGATCTGGACACAAGCGATGGAGGCACAACTTGTAGAACTTTGGCAAGCTCATCCGAGCCTTTCGATGAACGCGACTTGTCCTGAACTTCAGCTAGAATGAAAAAAAACCCCACAAAGCTGGAGTTATTCTGCATCTTTAACCTGCACAGCTGCCTCTTCTTCTCTCATTCTCTCCCCCTCCCTCTCCTGCTGCTACTTCAATAATAAGAAATACTGTTTTTTTTTCTTATTCTCATTTAAAATGTCTAGCTTTTAATAAACAATTATCTGAATCTTACAACCAAAGTGGTCATCTGATGTAAAATGTATAGAAATTCATTATTGTATATAGTAAATATTAAATCTAATATATGCTCTAATAAGCTATAGTACTTATAGAAGGTACCATGTGTGCAAGCTGCAATTCTGTTGAAGAAAGAGGTTGAATGTATTTAATTACTGTAGAAAAATAATTGGTTTCTGTGCATTTGTTTTACCCTGGCAATAAATTAAAGTTGATTACGTCGATTAAGCATCATGAGGCGGAGGGTGGGGGGTAGTTCCCTATTTTTTGGCTGGGAGTTGGCAACCCTGCTAGTTAGGTATATGTAATTATTGATTAGGTTGTTTGATATTTCCGGTAAGTACTGTTTAAAATACCAGAATTGGGAGGATGGTGTAGGCTTATTAGATTGATCCATACCATCAAGATAGAGTACATCACTGTCACAACAGCATTTGTTTTCATTCAAAGGCTTTATGGCTTTTCCTTAAAATGCCCGGGCTGATTTTTTTGTCCCAGTCCAGTCCTGGCCTCACAAAATTATCACGACCACAAAAAACGTGAAAAGAGTTGGATAGACATTGCTGCTCAATCACAGCTGCCTGGTCAATGCTTTTCAATCTAGCAAAGTTGATGGTGGTGGTGTGTATGTCTGTGTGAGTGAAAGACAGAGAGAGAGGGAGAGCAAGAGACAGATTTTGTGTTATAACCTTCATCTTAGGAGATTAATCAGTCTTTCACTTGATCATTTTAGGAGTTTAAGCAGACCCCCTGGAGGACACTAGCTGGCCAGCCAAACCCAGCTGCAAATGACATATTCAGGGTTTGAAGAAACGTGTCTCCACAGCTGAGCAAAAATGTACAACAAGCAACATATAATGGATGAATATGAATAACTTTTTATTTCAGCAAACGTTAAATTTAACTTGGGAAAGATTACAATAACAGTGACCATGTGAAATTATACAGATTTTACTAGCCAGAGTAAACAAACGTTCTCAGTTGTATTATATATCCAACACGCTACCAAAACTTAAAGCATCTGGTTTTAACACAGACTCTACATATTGTATTGAACTACACAAGCATCAGCACTTTGAAATACTGTTGGCCATCTTCACTCAACCAACAGCCAAAATGGTTACATCCTACGCTCTGACAACTTGAGTGGTGACCACCGTTGAGGTGGCCGGCTGCATGTTGGCCCTGATCTTCACCTCACGATGCATCTGGCACCAGACACACGTGTAACACCAAAGTATTTTACAGCAGTCATCACAGCACGAACCCTGCAGGATGGAGAAAAAGAAGAGAAGAATACGACATAACACAACCCACAACTCAACACAATTAGGAAACATGGGGTCCCCATGCTTGTCTGATTTAGTTGATGAAAGGAGAGGAGAAAACGCCATCCCACAATTCATGAAAACTGTCAGTATAATTGGTAAAGTATGCAGATGATTTAAATCTTAATTATAATATAATTTGCCAATTTTTGCCATTAAGCTATTGATTTTTCACAAGAGTCTGCACGCACAAAGCACATGCAGACAATTTATGTAAATTTTCTGTGTTTCCAAATTTGATATTTAATATTTCTTATTGCCATTGTTCCAATTGAAAACATGAAGGCATATAGGGAATGATACATGGGCACTGTAAATATGACTACTTTGGACCTCTGACCTTTCTGCAAGGTCAAATAAGGTCAAAATTTCATAAAATTCTACTTATTACTTATTGGCAACATTTAGGAACTAATATTGCTATAAGGGGACTCAGAATATCCAAAATAATTTACATCCAAATATCATGTCACATGTGACCTTTTTCCTTCTGATCTCATTTCTACATTGCACATCTATGTTTCTCTTTCAAGTGTGTTATTTTTACTGTCTACATATTCTTAAAGTACATATGTAGACATATATATATATATAAATGAATATATAAAACTGTCCAAGATACAGCACTGTTCATTAAAAGTAATTATTGTCCAGAGTGAGCTGGCTTGGCAGACGTTTACAGTGTCAGTATGTTTCTTTTTATGTTGATTTTTGTAGGAAAAGCTTATCTTTTAAAACGAAATTGAATTTAAATAAAATAGTTTTTCACTCCTCGGTTTAGCTTTTAGCTAACAACAATAACCTTGACCCTCCCTCGCCCCCAGCCTTACAGCGATGCCGTGGCGGTCTCTGATTGACTGGCGAAGCGTGCAGGATACCACGAAGCATCCATCACAGAGTGGGAGGCAGCAACACCACCCGTGCTTATTGGCTGTATCACACTGCATGCAGGGGAAACACCAAAGGGCACAGCAACCTCGACAGAAGAGAAAAAAATATGCAGAGACACAAGTTTATTTTACTGTTGAATAAGTTCTCCTTCAACAACTAGCTTGTGCATCCTGTGTTTCATATGCTGACTTCAGTCCTAACTTCAGATGGTCAGATACTCAAGAACCTCTGAATAAAAGTCTGAGGAGACTGTTGATGCAAAAATCACTGCTGTTTGTAGAGTTTGCTAGATTAACTTACAAGTGCCCATATCACTGAAGCAATCACAGAGGCCAGTGCTCCAAGTCCCAGGGTGTTGATTAGTGCTGGAGACTGTCACTATCTGGGTGGGCTGCTGGTATTCAGCCATTTCTGGAGGAAAGAAGGTAGAAATAGAGATGCATTGAAGGGTTATAGTTTTAGTTGCTCCTCTGTACGGAGAAATCAAATGCTAGAATATGAAAAAGATAGCAACATTACTGTCCACAGTGTGGATATTTTTACAAATTACAGTTTCCTGTTTCATGAAAATCCCTACACTGACTATTGGCAGTAAATTTATGAGTACACCCTTTAAAACTCATGAATTTGCTAAAACCGAGCTTACAAACTGCATTCACAGCACATTTCAAATCTATAACTTTTATAAATTCACAGTTTCAAACAGTTCAAAGTCACACAAAATCTTTTGAGAGCATCCAAAATAATGCAGAGCGTTCAAGACGCACTACATCAGAAAACCAAAGACACTTTACACATTATTATTTGTCCTTGTGTAGTGATAAATACAAATTGCAGAAGCATTGTGTCAAAAACTAAAGTCATCCCATCATTGTTTTCTGTATACTTTATCAGTCTCTCATATTGTTGTGCATGAATTTTAGCCCACCTTTCTTTTCTTTGAAGTCTGTAGGTGTCTATTTATACAAAGGCCGCATTTTGGATACATTTTGCTCTAATCAAGCACACTTTGATACTTTGATGCTGCTAAAACCATGCAGAGAGAAATGAAGAAATAAACTTTATCTTTGGTGTGACCACAGCTATCAAAACAGGGCAAAACCTATGAACAAACACACACAACATGCCTTCATTTCCTCATATCAAAAAACATTTTCCAGCTTTGACTTGTTGAACTATGTCAATGAGTGAATACATAGGCATAAAGTCTAATTACACTATCACACATAAAAAAAACAAAAACTTCTATTAACACTCTTTAGTTGTTTCAAATAATCTAGCTTTAATAATAAAATATTTTTTTCAACTTTAAGGGTTTTAATAAAATATTTCCACGCCCTCTTATCTTCCTACAACAGATAGCTAAAATTTGGCATCCCTGGAAAAGACGAGCTTTCTAGCATGACGTACACTGTTTCTTGAATAGTGTAATTAAACAAAAAGGAACTACCTAAAAATTCAAGTATATTCATCCATGTAATGATTTCAAAATGTGGTTTCACCATAACGAACACCACATGGTCTTCCTGTACCCCCTTAGCTTTTCTCTAAAGACATGCATATTAGGTTAAATGATGATTATAAACTGGCTGTATACTGAAAATGGTACATCTGTAGGTGTGAATATGAGCTAAATAAAGATGTGATTTAAAACATGTTGAATGCTGAGCACAAGACTTGAAAAATGCTACATAAAAGCCATACCAAATGCATTTTAGGCCCATTATTTACAGTTATGAGAGTTTAGCTAACTTCAGGTTCAATCAAGCATACTAAACAGGGACAGGAGAAGCTATGTGTTTCTAACAAATCCTAAATTTGGCATGCAGTTTATTTCTCACGTTGCAAGCTGCTATCTGAATTCATTTATAGCGCAGACAAAGCGACGTCAGTAGCCAATATTTCGTTGGGTACTGTGCCTAAGATGCTATCATGTAAAGGGTGTTTTTTTAGTTGTAGTGCATTACATGTTACACAAAATCCAACAACTAACATTTACCAAACTCTGCGCTAATACAGATTAGTTGTTTGACAGAATAGTGGCTAAAATGAGTTTAAAAGGCTAAACTGTAACTTCCTTTGTCCTCGCTGTGCTGACAGCAATGATAATTATCACACATCCAGATCATGGTTTTTTTGAAGAAAGTACAGTTTTCCTTTAACTAACTCACTGCAGCTTACTGATGATAAAACTATGTACCAACCAGTATCATGTGTTCACAAAGACCTCACTGTTTTAAGATGTTCATTAGTATAAAAAGATTTTATTACCTTTTCTCTGGTTCTGTAGGCTTTGAAGATGAGAGTAAGAGCAAGAGGAAAATGTAACTACAAACTGTGAGAGGTGTGGTGGTGGGTGGGCTGAAGTTTTCCTGAAAATGAAACTTAAAATCCTCTGCAAGGAGAAACACAGTTCCACGTACTTTCAAATCTGTGTACATGCACGGCTGCATAAAAAGGAAGACAGAAGTGAACTTCCAACAAAGAAAGCGTTAAAAGTACAAGTTATGGTCAGTGCCAAATTTAATGTTAAAGTATTTTATTCTCATCATTATATTATTTGCTCTGTAATTAAACCTTGATTGATGTAGAGTATTTGAGTTGTACTCTGTGTGGTGTAAACACAGGAGCTGCATGTGTCTGAATGCAAAGCTGTTTTAGAAGAAAAACAAATTGCACAGATTAAACAAAGCCTCTACAGAACAATGCAGCTGACATGACTGATTGTTAACGCCCATTGTTGTTTTGCACTCTGTCTGTATGCTTCCTGGAACATTTTGTGGTTTCAGGTGTGACTTGAAGTGTGGAGAACAACCACAGATTGAGCTGATGTGTAGAATCTAACAATGTTTTTAAAAACCGTTCACGTACAATGTCACTACTTGAGTTTTATTAGATCTAACTCTCGATACGGTAGATAGCATTGTGGTTTTATTGTGAAGCACTTTGATGTACAGCAAGTCTTTTAAATGTGCTATATAAATAAACTTTGACTTGAGTCTGTTAGGCTGTAAAAAAACAAAAGTTAAAAACTATCACCACACCAGCAGCCACATAACAATACTCAAATATATCCCCCTGAGAACCGAAGAAACAAGGATCTTTTGGTTTAGCTTTTTTTGTAAAGTCCTGCTTATGTGAGCTAAAAAGGGCCAAACACATGAGATATCACTGGAAAGGCCAGGGTGTCCTCTTTTGAGCACAATAGGACTTATTTGGGTAGCTCAAATACGTCACCTGGTTTTCTCTCACTCTAACCTCTGGTCTGTCTCAGTTAAGCTGCCCACCTAACACTAGTTTTTATTTGTATTTTTTTAGAGTCGTGGCCCTGGTGTTATGTATGGGTAAAATGTGAAGAGGCACTGTTGTTACGAGCTCTTAGAAGTTTCATAGCCTTGAAAGAAATCACGAAGGTGTAGAAGAATCGGATGTGTAGAGTTAATGGAGCAATGATAAAATGTATGTAACACTAAACAAGTGAGTACTGGGTCTGATTGATTTCCTTTGACTGTGTTTTGTCACCTTTAAAACACCTGTAAGGGTGTAAGCATGTATGTGGGCTACTTCCTATTTTTTTTTAAGAATCCTTTCCTGTCAGAATTTATTTAAAGTGCACTTTAACATACTGTTAAATTACATTTGCATGCCTGTCTTGCACAAAAGCATTGATGCATGAAAGTGATGCATCTACAGCCCTTCCTGGTTTCTTACTTTCCTTTTCACAAGCACCAACAGACAGATGTACATTCTCTGTCTCATTTGGTGCACATCAGACAATACATGAAACTCATCAAACCCACAGGGCTGATCAGAAGATTCTAATCTGTCAAAGTGTTTGTGCAAATGTAGCAGAGTGGTAAATTAATAATAATATTTCCCATTTCAAAAATCCATTTAAGGTTCAAAAAGGGGTCTTAAAATGTTGTTTCTTTGTTTCCATGTATGGTAAGACAAGAATGTTATCGGGTAATTTAATGTTATTGCTTGTGCTATTTCTTTGGTTATCTGCATGTTGTGTGCACTTGAAGCTGTTAATTTTATAGATTGGTGTAGTTGCATATTGTGGTCACTGGGGTGGGGGGGGGGGGGGTGCTTAAGGGTTAACTGCAGTTTTCCAAAAAAAACTTAACAAGAAATGCATCTTGGGGCTTCCTGTTTACTTTTCTTTTTGTTGTGGATGTGGAACGGGAATGTTGTGAAGGAGTTAAATTGTTGGTAAGAAATTGTTAAATATGCACATAACTCGTTGAAACATATTGTTATAATTGTAGTATTATTTGTATACTTCACAACAACAGACATCTAACGAGACGTGTGGTTTCTACCATTTTTTTCACATGGCTGTCGCTCCACTCAAATGTCTTCAGAAATGAAAGTGTCTGATCTCCATCCTCTGCCTCTCAAATGATTTCCCTCCAAATTTAGTATTAGTTTTAACTCCACCTTTCTGGCTGTCTGCTCTTAACAGGCTTCATCAGGTCTCAACAGTCTTTTAGTTATTTTTAGGAAGTGACATCTCTGCCGTGGCGGCATTAGTCACTGAGCGAAAAATGTAAGGCCACTTTTTTTTTTTACATTCAACACACATAAAAACAACAGTTGAGTACAGAAAGCCTGTCACTTAACTATAAAGGACTGAAGGGCAGGCCAACACTGCCCTCTGCAGCAGTTGTTGTTGATAAAGCTCATGGTTAATATAAAGTCTCCTTATCATTGCTGAAAGGGCTGAGTTGACCATTTAGCAGAGGGGATCTCACTTTCCTTCCGCATTTCATGGCTGGACGTTTTCCTGAAGTCTGTTTAAGAGCTGTTGTTGTAAAAGCGGTCTGTGCCGTGACTGTTAGATTGCCTGAATGCAACCTGTCACAACATTATTACCAGGAGAAATAAAATGCGCTCCTCTTCAGATTAAGTATGTAGGAAGATGGTGATGAAGCTAAATTAACAGCTACTCCATTTCTTCCAACCTTTACCTCTGTTTTTTCTTTTTTAATGTTAAGGATCAGAACACTGTGTGCCACTCCAACAGGTTCAAACACAACCAAATTTAAATTAACTTGTATTTGTGTGAAAACTTAAACAAGTGGACAGCAGAGGTGGAAAGTAACAAATTACAAATACTCTGTTATTGTATTTAAGCAGAATTTTCAGGTATCTGTACTTTATTTCAGTATTTGTTTTTCTAACAACTTTTTACTTTTACTTGCTACATGTATTTTTTTTCCCTTACATTTTCAAAACAGGCTCGTTACTTTAGGTTCATTTAGTATAAGTCAGCCTAAAGGAGTGCGAGTATCCGTATGTTGTGTTCACGGTACTTCTTTCACTCTAGCTAGCACAAAGGAGAAGGAAGCACACTTTTATAAGTGTCAGGTAATTCCAAACATCAGCAAACACACAATCTGTTGGTGTGAAGCTTGTCACACTGCATGTTGTTAGCTAAAGGCCCGGCTGCTGTATTTCACAGAGGGAGAAAAGAGTGAGAGCTAACCTCACTCAGAGATGGAGGAAGACAGGAGAGGAAGAAGAGAGAGTAGATTTAAAGGTGAGGACTGATCAGCGATGCTTAGAAAATATTTTAAGCTTACATGTAATGTCATTGTTTTAATCATATATTATATATTCCTGCAAAACAAACTATGCCATACTAACTTTGTGTTATTCAAATCTAAAAATGTGCTGTAGTTTGTGTGGGATAAAGAGACTAGCTTGTGATAGCGTGATGGATTTACTGTAAAAAACTGTGTTGGACTGGTGCACAGTGCACATTGTTGGTTTACATCAGCTGTAGTAGACTAATTTGCATTTAAGATGATGATGGTTAGATTAATTCACTGAATTCCACCTTTATACAACTGCATACTGAATATTTTTTAACACGGGTATCTGTACTTCTACCTAAGTAAAGAAAGCCTGTACTTGTGCCTGCCACATGTCCTTGAGGTACCCCACTTCTCGGGAGAAAGTGGAAGGTGATGCGTGTCTGAAAGCGTCTCGGTGCAAAGTATGCACAGCAGACTGACAAACTGCAAAATATTTTTGACACTATGATGTTTTTTTGTAGATAAAGACCAATTCTGATGTATATTCTTATTCGGTAACCTATCAGAATAATGCATGACAGTAAGTGCATTTTAATAGTTTTTATTTTAACAAAGGCTAAACTCAGATCTGAAGAAGAATTCAATTACAATGACAGCGATGATTGTATGAAATAGAAGGATTTTATTTGTCACAATGAAAGCTGGTCTCAGATACCATCCAACACATTAATATGCCCACAAAACTCTAAAGCATCTGGTTTTAACAGTAACATTTGCTCTCAACCGACTAAGTAAAACAGTCACTTCCTATCAATGCATGGCCTATGTGGCGACCATCATTGCTGTGGTGGGCCGCTGCTGGTGATTTTACAGCTGTCGTCACAGCAAGAGCCCTGCAGGATGGAGAAGAGGAAGAAGAGAGAGCGAGAGAGAGAGAGGATGAAGCAGCACGTGTTACTGCGGTTTAATTTGCAGCTGCCATGGTTGTTTCTGTGTAAAATGTGGGGGAATGCCACAGTACCAGCAACAAAATCGGCATCAGAATGTAGAGGGCCTGTTCAGTTTGCCTTTTTACAGTGAGACATAAGAGATGAACAGATTTTCTTCTCTAATTTGGAGGTCACCCAACCCCTTATACCCTCTATATGTTCCTTTCATGCAAACATGTCACAAAACGCAGTATCCAGTTCACTTCTTTCATGGCACTACATGATATAGATATCAGTTTGCTGGTTACAGTGCAACCCATAAGCAAATACTAAGGCTGATGAGACAGCTTGGAGCTTCTTGAGGGTGAGAGGAAGGATGTGCACACAGAGGAACCTTCAATCATTTTCAGTACACTTTTTGTGGATCTCATAAAATCTACATTATTATTGATGTTATGAACATAAATATAAAAATGCAGCTGGGTGGGCTACTGGTAGATGACGGCCATGCCTGGAGGAAAGAGAAATGGAGGCTCAGATTTAAGAAGGGAACATATAAAATCACTACAAAGACTTTACACATAGATATATGTCTTTAAACTTAATAATCGAAGGCACAAGTCTACATTTGCATTACTTTGATTATAATTGCTGGTGTTCCCTCAGTTAAACATTATTTTCTATGTTTGCATGCTACTTAGATACTAGCTTGCAAGGGCTGAAATTCATTTAAAAGCTGTTTGTTTTAAATTTTTATTATATTGCATTGCCTTGTGTTTTTAAATATGTTACAGCAAAATCAATGAATTTGTGTGAGATGCAACAAATATTTTTTCAAACAAACATTCATCCTCTTGTGGGCTAATGCACAATCGAAAAAACAGGCTAGGAAACCTACAAGGGCAGGTACGGACATTAGACCGGGGGTTGGCGACCGCGAGCTGCAGGCTCTTTTGGCTCTCAGCTGTGGCTCCCGCAAACTTTGGGTGAAAAAATAAAACTAAGAAAAATTTCATGTTACAGACATAACCTTCCCTTTAATACGACTGAGTATTGGGGCCACATTTGTTAGTGGAAAATGAAGAATCATTTTCCATGATGTTTCTTTACCTTCTTTTAAATGTACAAAGATGCCCTTTGTCTATGGTTAGATTAGTTTAGAATTATCCTTTTAGACTT